CAGTTGGGGGTGACCAGGCCAACAGGGGAAGGCAGTTGGGGGCCATCAGGCCAGCAGGGGAGCGGTTAGGGGCAATCAGGCAGGCAGGCAGGCGAGTGGTTAGGAGCCAGCAGTCTCGGCTTGTGAGAGGGATGTCCTAAACCGGCAGTACGACATCCCCGAGGGGTCTCAGATTGGAGAGGGTGCAGGCAAGGCTGAGGGACACCCTCTCGTGCATGAACTTCATGCACTGGGCTTCTCGTAATAAATAATAAGCAGCAGGATTTTTAACACAGAGATCCCTGTCTGCTTTAGAAATCCTGCTCTTATTTCTGTGACTCCTGTTTTGTGGAGATAATATTATCCACTTTCCATTTATACAGAAAATTAAAGAACTTCTTGTTTCCAAATATTAATTTTCAATATCTTTGCAAACAACAGGAAGTACCTTGGGTAGTTATAGTGTAAAGTGAGATTGTGCTTGCTTTTTAGAGACAAATATCTGTGGATTAAATGATTCGCCACTATGTGTCAGTGTTTGGTATTTATTTTTAAAATCTGCTTACATGGATTAGAGGAATTTTGTACATAAAAAAACTAGGTCACCAGCTGAAAGAGAAGCATGGATCATCTCTTCTAATAGAGTGTAAAATGATGACATCTTATGATTCACTTCAGGGGTCCTGCCTGCGGGCGGTAAAAGGCCGCCAAATCGTTTGGTCTTGCCATGCCAAGGCATCAAGGGTGAATTAAATGTTTGACCAAATATAGTAGGGTAAATTTTTAGGTTGATAATTTTGTCTGGCCCTTGATGTTATAAATATCCAAATGACCCTTGGTAGAAAACAGTTCTCCACCCCGATTAGGTAAACTGATATATAAAGTACAGGATTGATATGTTTAAATGATACTTTAGATTGGTTACATTATCAGTACACTTTATTAAATGTCTATTCTTGGTACCTGTTATTTTTAAATTTTTAGAAATGTAGTACATATACTTGAGAATTAATTTCTCATCTGAGTTACTTAAAACAAAGATAAAATAATGATGTCTAATTTTATTTAACTTAGAGCTTTGGGGTGAGTTTAAATATGTTTAATAAGTGAAATGGTTTTATTTATTTCACTCAATAGATGGCAAGCTAAAAATTTTTTCCCATAAGTTTAAAATACAATAAATATTATTACCCTGCAGTTCTTTACTTCCTCCTATTTCCTTCCCTTCCTTTATCCCTTCTCCCTTCCTTCTGTCTTGAAAACATCTGTAGGACTTCTGTTTGAGGGATGATGGAAGGTATAACTGCATTAAAGCAATGCTGAAAGGATCTTGTGTGAGAGCCCAACAAGTTGCTTCACTTTTCTGGTGAGGTCTGTTTGTGGCTGATATGGTCTCTCTGCTAGCATGGTTGCTCTGTCTAAATATCTAGACAGGTGCCTGTTCAGGCCAGACTTTTCTTCTAGTTACTGTCTACCCTCAGCCATCCAGGGTACCTAGATATCAGTAAGGAAAACCTTAGACTTCTCCATTTCTTTATTCCATCACTTGTATGTGCAAGGCATGGAGTTCCTCTTCACAAGTCAAACCTACCAGAGTTCTGTTTAAAGTACCTAAGCAAGGTACTCTCTTATCATTTCTTCATCTATTTATGCTCATTTCAGACTTAAAATCTCATCCTGATCTTGTTTTTCTCTCTCTTAAAATAAGTATTATTTTTTTATTTTTGTGAAGGTATTTGTCCATTTTGGTGAAGCTGGAAAATAAAAAATTAATAATAATCACCATGAATAACCACTATTAATATTTTAACATATTTTTTCAGGTCGTGTTTTAAATCAGCACAAACACACACACACATACACACACACACACACACACACACACCAAGACATATACACAGTGTATATAATAGCTAAAATGTACTGAGCAACTATTATGTGCTAAGATTTCTATTTAACATTTTATCTCCACAGCAATCCTATGAAAAGATGTGGATAGAGTTATTTTTGTCTGCAGGCATCCATCTCCCCACCCTCCATCTACATGGGTCAACTGCCCTGTGATTTCACCTTAGGTTTGCAGTCCTGGTGGGGAGGCCAGTTTAGGTGCTCTATCCCCCTTTGGCAAAGAGTTTATCCCATGATAAACCAATAAGATGCTTTCCCTGGGAGTTGAATCTTGAGTAGGACATCACAGAAAGCTTTAGCAACCATCTTATTCTATTCACCCAGGTAGTGTTGTCCTGACAAGGCTTCCTTTAGTTTTGCTACTAAGTCTGAGGAGCTGCTCTGGGACCAGCCCTTTCTCATGATGGGTTCCTTAGATTTTCCTCTGAATCTATGATCTTTCCCATATTCTTACAATAACATTGTTGTTGTCATCTATAATAATAAAAGCATAATATGCTAATTAGACCAGACAGCCTTCCGGAGGTCCTTCTTTCCAGAAAAAGCCACAGCAGGCGGGGCCAAGGCAGAGGCAGCAGGAGCCGGGGCGAAGGCTCTTGCATGAATTTCGTGCATCGGTTCTCTAGTTTTCAAATAAAGTTACCTGATTTGATTTATTCCACACACTACCAAAAAATCCCTAAACAATATAAAAACGCACAGAAATATACAAGCATTATTCTAGTTTACAGAGACTGAAACTGAAGCTTAATGGAATTAAGCTGATACCCCCTTTTACTTGCCAGGATCACCCAGGAAAATAAGAAGGGGTATCAAATCTCTGTAATACTAAAGTTTGTGCTTAATTTTAACCACTCTCTTCTCAACCTTTCTGTATATATAACTCAGACGTATGTGTATCTTTTTTGAATTAATATATTTGTATTAATTTCAGAGAGGGTGATGGAGCGGTAGAAACATCAATAATGAGAGAGAATTACTGATAAGTTGCCTCCTGCACGCCCCCTACTGGGGATTGAACCTGCAATCCAGGCATGTGCCCTGCTGGGAATTGAACCTTGACCTCTGGGTTCACAGGTGGAAGCTCAACCACTGAGCAACATCAGCCAGGCAGTGTGTGTGTGTGTGTGTGTGTGTGTGTGTTTATATGTATTCTTCAACAGTTAAAATTGGAACATATTCACAATTTCAAGCATTTTTCAGCCTTTAGTTTTTTGTCTGATAATAAAATTACTTTAGAAAATGACAAGATTACTGTAAAGCACAAAGACGGTAAACCCATTATTCCAACACCTAACTATCATTATACGACTATTAACATTTTGGCTTATTTCCTTTAGTCTGTCTCTTTCTCTCTTGCTGTGTGTATATATACACAAGCATGCATAACAAATGTAAATATATATGTGTGTGTATATATATATTTGTATATATATATATATATGGGCAAAAGTAGGTTTATAGTTACACACACACACACACACACACACATATATATACATATATATATATACACACATATATATATGTGTGTATATATATATTAAATATATTAGAGGCACGGTGCATGGATTCATGTACCAGT